GTATATGCCAAAATCATGACAGTTCGGTTTTTGCACGAGCTCGTTCAAATTTTCTACACGTGTTGATTTTATTTTTGCACTTTTCTTTTTTCGAAGAGAATAAAAAACAAATTATTTTCATATGTATATATATGAATGAATGATGATATCAAAAGTATTTTAAGAGATATTATTATTATAGTCAATATAAATGATATTTTCGGGTTTTCAATTTATACAATGAAATTAGGTATCGTTGAAAAAGAATGCGTTTCATATATTGAAAGACATTTTATTACGACATACCATACGTTTAATTCACAAATATGATATGAGTTTCGAAAATGTTTGAATTTTTCGACGAATTCAATCTCTTTTTTTTTTTTTATTTTTGTTTTCTCTTTTAAGGTAGAAAAAAAATGCAGATAATTTATATAATATTTATATGAGCGAGATGATACCAAAAATATTGGAAAAATATTATAATACTTGATATGTGTATTGAAGATTTTTGTGATTTATCTTATAAAATTAAACATTATTGCGATATCATATCACTATTAAAAAAAAAAAAAAAAACGTATTGTACTATACGTATATTTAATTTATTCGTTTTGAGCGTTCATGTAAAAAGAAATGTACGTGTAAAAATGTTGTAGTGAAATAAAACTTCGTTCATATCAAATTCGGGATTCAAAATTGGACGACAGTTTTCATTTCAAAATTTATCTTTAAAAAATATGACTAATGTAAATGTATGTATATCTATCTATATATATATATATATATATATAGGTGTATATATGTGTATAGACAAAGTTTACGTGAATTATTTGTCGATGGGAGTAAACGAGTTGATCCTAGTGGAAAGTTGTATACAGCAAAAGCACAAACATCGAAGCTCATTTATGCGGTAGTTTCATGACTATACCCGAGAGACTATTTGTCATACTAAACGTGTAAGTACGTACACATCGTTTCAGGGAAACTCCATGTAACAATATAAAACCGGTGCCACCCAGTGTCTGTAAAATATCGCCTTACCTAAGAACGATTATTTTATGTTAAGCGTTAAATAAGTCGTGTTTACGGCCACCTTTTATTTTTTTTTTCTTCAATTTTTTTTTCTTTTTTAAAGAGAGCCCATAAATCCGAGGAGAATGTTCACGTGACTGACATACAAAACTGAGATGAGATAAGGAGACTTGATATTTCTACGTTAACTTTTATAAATATTATTGATTAACTGTTTACATGTCTGACAAGTTAAAAAAATTAGATAAGGAAACTTGAAATTACGAGTTTTTACTTCTTTAAAATATTATTGATAAATAACATTGTCATAGACAGAGTTTAAAGAGATGAAATTATCAAGTTGCAAATTTGAAAGTCGACATTTTCAAATGTCAATGATAAAAAATATTATTAAAAATATTATATATTTAATATTATTTATATATTAATATTATTATATATTAATTAAATATAAATTCATTAAAATTAAATTAAATTCATTAAAATAAATTATTAATATATTTAATTATAATATATATAATATTATATATTATATTAAATTAATATAATAAAAAAGAAAAATCATAAAATTAAAACCATCTATAGTCTCTCTACGTTTCTACTTTTTATTTCGATTCACGTAAACATTTTTTTTTTTTAAATAACAAACTCAAAAAAATAATATATTTCTTTTTCTATAACATTATTGAGAATATTCATTATTATCGATTCGTCCTAAAAGTGTAGTTACACATGATGACGACCGATCGAAAATCACGTCCAGTTTGATTGATGAGGAGATAGGGAAGGACGAGTGCAATATATATGTGTGTAGATTCTGTAGTAATAATCGATTTTTCGTGTTCTTTCAATACCAATCGAGCGGGTAAAATGAATGATAGATATGCGTGTATCGATCATTAAATCGAACAAGCTGAAGTAAATTCCTCAATTATATTAACGAAAGTGTATAAAGATGAGTGGTATATCCTTCGATGTAAGTACTTTTTCAATTGTATGTGTCATTGTATTTATGTATGTGTATGAGAAGATTTATTCATTTTATTTAAATTTGTTTTTATTATTAAATTAACTTTCTCATTCATTCTTTTATTTTATTATTCAAATATTAAGAAGACCGAAAAGTTATCAAAATTTTTCTTTGCTAACCAAAATCATTTATTATTTTAAATTTTATTATTAAAGAAATTTTCAATAATACTAATCTAATATAAAAGAGTAAGATTAGATTAGATTAGAGAGAGAGAGAGAGAGAGAGAGAGAAAGAGAGAGAGAGAGTATTATTTTTAATAATTATTAATTAGTATTATTTTTAATTTTTTGTTAAAAAAAATAATATTAATTATATATATATAAATAATAATACTAATTTCTTATTGAAAATAATTTTTAATTTCTTCTTAAAAATAATACTCTCTGATCTAATTTTTAATTTAATATCAATGTCAAATAATTTAAATAAAATCAACAAAAAATTTTTTGTCACCATTTTCTAACACTTTTTACCTTACGTAAACAAAATTGTTCAATCTCCATTTTTAAAAAGCCCTTCGATTTTTCATTGACACAAATTAAATGTGAGTGTACTTACTCATCGAAGAAATTTTGATTACTTTTCGATATCCCCATAATATTATCTTTTTTTCAATTTGAAAAAAGTAAAATCAATAGATTACAAGTTTTCATTTGAAAAAAAAAAAAAAAAACAAGAAATTGAAAAGAAAAAGATGTAGAAATTGATTGGAATCGATAAATTGAAATAGTTTTGTATCAATCGTATGGTCTTTCGCGTAAACGAATCGATTTATAATAAGACTTGAAGTAAACAAGAAAAAGAAGAAAAAGTAAGTTTGCAAAAAAAAAAAAAAAAAGGGAATATCTTTTTTAACCTTTTCACGTTTCAATTTTTCATAGCAAAAGAAAAAAAAAAAGATAAGAAAAGAATTTAAATATTCGCATGACGATGAAACGGAAGAAATATTTCTTAACGTGCATTCGGACCATTGTGTACTCGTTCATCGGAAAGTTTTTTAATCAGCTTCTACTCTCACCGGCACGATACTATCCAATGAAAAAATAATTCTCGTACGTCTAATGTCTCCAGTCATCCAATTGTCTCGGAAAATTTTTATCATTAAAATACTTTACCGATATTTTCATTTATTATTCATATTTCTAATTTTCTCCTACTGTTTTTGATTTCTCATCTTATTCATCCCTTATTTAGTTTCTTACAGCTTGAAGTTTTATCAAATGTCATGTTTGAAGATATTAGTATTGAATAATTCAAAATGAATTAGTTAACAATCACATCGTTTTTGTGTGAAAGAAACAGCTGATTATTATTTATTTCATAAATATCTAATTTTACGTAAATAAAAAGAAATGTTCTGATCTATTTTGTTCTAGTCTATTGACAATAGATCTTATTATGAATTTTGATGATATGAAATAAAAGTAGAAATCATTTTTTTTACAATGAATAGCTTAATTAGTCGTTCGTTCGATGACAATTCAATTAAGTACCCTTCATATACACAAGATTGAGCTATACAATCCATCGTTTTCGACCGAAGGGCTGATTAGTGATTCGATTGAATTACACCTGTTTGCAGTATGAGCGTATTTAAATACCCTTTCCCCCTACCCCCACAGATTCTTTAGCATTAGCCGAATCACACGTACCAATATATCTATATGTTCTTTTTTTTCTTCCCCTCCTTTGTTCCATCTTCGAACGGCCGGCCCATTCATTTTCGTATTTGCGATCGATTATCGATAAAAAGAAAAAACAAAAAAAAGAGAATGAAAGAAAAAGGGCGAATAAAAAGGTTCCATTATAGAAACAAAACCGAACCATTTTCTTTTCCGAGTATTTTCCACGTGTTATATACGTTCGATCATTTTCCATTGAGTTTCAAATCGACGCTACGTGGCTACGATTTATCTGCGGGGAGAGAGAAAAAAAAACTGCGCGAGGTAACTGAAAACAAAAACAAAAGAAAAAACAAACAAAAAAATAGTAGAAAAAGAAAATTTCAGGTAAATGTAACGAAGTGAAATAGAAAATCAAAAAAATACGAGATATGGTGAAACGATGATAGGTAGTAAACGAAGTTAATGAATTTAAATAATTGTGAATTAAAAAATTAAAATTACATTTCATACAAATTAAAAGACAAGAGTGATCGAGATTGATTAATTCGATAGATCGAATCGATGGATGATCGATGGTAACGATTTCGAGGATCACGCATGTATATTCTCGATATTTGAGGAAAGAAAAATCGTCGTTGCGATTAACGTTGAATTTGGAATCCAAATTCTTCATTGGTTGTTTCGATTATTATAGTACCGAGTCGAAGGACGTTAAGTATGCTTTTTTTTTCTTTTTTTTTTTAGGTTTTTTCATCTCCGTGGATACGCCGCAATAAAAGTCACGATATATTTTGATGGAATGGGACATAATAACGATTGATCATTTTTAGTCTTCTTCTTCTTCTTCTTCTTCTTCTTCGTCATCGTCTTCGTCTTCGTCTTCTTCGTCTTCCTCTTTTTTTTCTATTTTTTCATTATTTCAGGCGTTTTGCGAATTCAATTAAAAGGTTACGAAAGAAGGACGAATTCGCGGAAGGAATCCGTGTTCTTGAAAAAGGCCAGAGTGTTTGTTTCTTTTTTTTTGTGTCAAATCTTTTTCAACTTCTTTCTCTCTCTCTCTCTCTCTCTCTCTCTCTCTCTATTTCTCTCTCCCATTCTATTTTTTTCATTTAATTGTTTTCAAAGATTAGACAAATTTCACATTACACATTATGTTCCTTTCTTACGGGATTTCTTTGAGTTTTTATGGGTTTGTGTAAACGGAAAGAAGTAGAGTTAAATAGATAGTAAAAGGTACAGACAGAAAGAGAGAGAGAGAGAGGCAGAGAAAGAAAGAAAACGTATGAGAGAGAGAGAGAGAGAGAGAGAGAGAGAGAGAGAGAATTAGAAAGAGAAAGACGAAGAGAAAAGGAATCCTCTTCTTTCTCTTTATTTCTTGTCTTTCTTTTTTTTAATAAAGAAGCAGGCACAGACAAAGTAGCAGCGAGTAGAGTCTTGGTTGTTTCGCTTGACCGCCATGCTGCATTGCCGCGGGATACTCTCCTGAAACATAGGACAACACTTAAATTTTCTGAAAATGTCTAGCACTTGAGAAAGAGAAAAAGATGATAATAGATAAGTATAGAAGAAAGCTACCGTCATTTGTCTTTCTCTTTTTCTCTTTCTCGTTTGATCTTCTTGTTTTTTTTCTTTTTTTTTTTTTTTTCTATATATTTTATTTTTCCTTTAGCATTAAACTTAAACCAAAGATCGTTTTATTACACGAAGATAGTGCATTTTATTTCTTCTATCCGTTCTATCTTATAATTTTTCCTTTTCTTAACTTCCCTTTCATTCTTACTTTTATTCGTTTCAAGTCGTCCTAAATCTGACTGAGAGATTATTTTTAAAAGAAAGATCGAGTAGCACGATAAAAACTTATTGTTCAGATGAAATACTCAAAAGGAAAGGAAAGAAAAGGTTAGGGGAAAAATTGGAAAAGGAAATGATCGTGTACTCACCATTGAGTACGTGAACGGTAATCGACTTTGGCTGAGCATTGCTAGGATTACACGTATAACGTCCAGAGTCAGATGGTTTGGCTTCCTGGACGAGAAGGAAACTCGTCGTACTGTCACCCTTTTCCGTGACCACGGACACACCACCTCTGGTCGAATCGTAGCTAATTATCTGGAACAAAGGTCGACAAACTTCTAAATCTCTAATTGAGAAACACAAAGAGATCAGAAACACACTAAACCTCAACTTTTATTACTCCATCTAATATTTTTTTTTTCCATTAGATGCTATATATATATATATATATATATCAGAGATTTTATAAGGTCATGATTTTATTAGATTGATTTTAAAATAGCATGGATTATCTAATTAATATCTATGTTTAAATTTTTTAATAAAATTCTATCACATTTAATATTGATTGATTGTCTGAACTACAAAAATTTGTTTTTATTAACCTTTAGAGTGCTGTGTGTGGACGTATATATGCGTTTGGTAAAAATTACCAGAGTGTGGTCTATCAACGCATATACTTGTTTGTTAATATGTAAAATAATGTTATGTTTATATTAATTAATTAAATTATATTCACAGAAACAAGAACTTTAATTTTAAGTCTTATTTAATAATTAATTTAGGTTTATATTTAATTAATTAAATATAATTTAATTATTATATATAATTATAATTATGTATAGTAAATATAAATTATATTAATATATATAATATATATAATAATAATATAATATTAATATATATAATTTTATTATATTAATATATTTAGAATCTAGTTAATAATAAATAATTCCATTCCTACAAAACATTTTAGTTAAAAGTATTTAGCACTCAAAGGGTTAATTATCAAATATTCTAATGTGTTTCGTTATCAATTAATTACGCTTCTTAAATAAAATTTAACAAATTTTTCATATAGGCAATGAAATTTTGCACTTCGTAAGTTTTATGAATAATCGATATTTATTTAATTTGAATATATTAAAAAGTAATTATGAAAAATAATCAAATATGTAAACGAATATAATCATGATGGTATTATTAATCAAATTTGTGTAGATTTTCGAAAATAATTGTTAATATAAAATTATTAAAATAGCATACGTAATTTCTTGTTTTTTTTTTTATAGTTTTTTTTTTTTCGTTGGACATTCTATGATCTTTAAAAAACGAAGTGAGAAAGAGAAAAGATAAGCCAAGAGGATCTTCCATCGGAAGTCTCTGATGTCAGAAACGATCTAAAAGGGAAGGAAGTTTTCTTGTCTCCCTGTCATTCTGTTCATTCGTATCACGATCGGAAAGTAGTCATAAAATAAAATTTACGCCATGACGTCGTCTCGATTTCGTTCAGTTTATGGGGAAGATTCGTACGAGTTATCTTTATCTCATGGGTGATAGGAAACGCTTATGATGACAGATAAGGAAAAATTTCGGGAGAAAACTCAGTTCTTTTTTTCTTTTTTCCCCAGTTGCGGTAAGTTGATCTCCCTCTCTTCGTGTATTTTTCATGTTTTTTTTAGACGTCGACATAAACGAAACCTGAGAACATAATGGTAAATTGCATACGTTTTATTAACGTTCCTACCAACCGTAAATTCTTATTACGGTTTACCTGCTTCACGTATATATATGTACATAAGTATGTATGTGAATTGTACATATGTGAATGTATACATATATATGTGCATAATGTGTATATAAATATAATAAATATATGCATATTATTGCACACATATATATAAATATATATATATGATACATATGTACACTTAGGAAGAGCGTAGAAAAATATTTTACTTTTTCTCTCGGTGTAATTTTTATTTCCAGTCGTACGCGCTTCATATATATATATACAAGGACGTTTAGAAATAAAGATATAAAATCAAATTTATGACGTTGTTTGCTTAACCAGTTTTGAAATTTTTCTTTGATTTATTTTCTGTCAAAAGTGGGGGATATATTATATTTTGATTAAATATCCACGTTATTATTTATTTTTCAGATTTTTTTCCTACTCAAAAAAAATATCTTACGAGAACGTTTAGGATGTTTACGATGTGATTGTTAAAAAGAGAAAGAGAGAGAAAAAGAAAATCAATCACTTTTTCATATAGATTTTACGATTCTGTTTTATTGTTTTGTTTGTTTAAAAAATCTTAAAATAAAGTTTGTTCAATTTTTACGTTAGTGGTAGGCAATTAAAGTGGGTAGCATTACACGCGAAGGTGTCATTGAATTTTTAACGATTTAATTATCGAAAGCACATATTAAACTCAAGGTGTGTACCCTAAGCAATTTCTAGGTAGAAAAGGTTAATAGAAAATTCGTAAGGAGTCAGGAAATATGGATGCTCAGGCGTATGACGTTATTGTCATATACTGTACTAGACAGTCTCTGTTTATTCTCTGTTCCACTTGGCTCGTGACACGAGTGTCTCTTTAACAGAAAAGGTATGAGGGCCTACACACACTGTTCGGGTATCTACCACGCTAAAGAGAAAACGTTAAGGTTGGACCCTTCGCCGTCATAACGGCGACGGATTTATAAATAAATGATCAGCTGTTCATCGGACCTATGCGTGCAGTTTTAAAAGTGACTTTAAATGGGGTGCATAGTCTGGCTTGAATTTATTGCAAAAGAAATATCAATGCTCCTATATATATATATATATTAGGGTGGGTCAAAAAATGAATTATTTTTTCGAAAATCGAAAAATCTCAAGCATCAACAATGACGACACAATGAATATATATATATATATCGATCATGTTTATTCATTCACAGAAAGGTTATTCATTTATTTTTGTATCAATTAATTTCATTGAATAATATTGCCTTTAAATTATCGAATATAATTGTTTATTTATGTAATTTACTGACCCGTGGTATTTAATTCGACAATATAATACATTTAGACAATTGCTATTTAATTACCAGAATTATTAAGAATATAGATCAATTAATATCTTTTACATCATCGATCATTATTTCAAATGCATAAATCATTAAAACAATTGACTCGTATGGGAAAATTGAAAGAAATCGTTCATTTTATTTGACAATCTCGTGACTGCAATCATTAAAATCACGGACTATTTATTATCTGTAATTTCCTCTTTGTGTTTACGTAGTAGTATGAAATCGTTCGTATTACTAAAGAAAAATTTAGGTGATTTTCGAAAATAAACGATTTATAGAAGCTAATCTGCATCTTGAAAAATCGTCCTTCGGAAGGACAGTTCCTCCCATTGACGTATCGTACACTACGTAGATCATCGTCGTGTAAACGATCCTACCTGTGATTAATCAGATGGGAAAACTCACGCTTCGCAACTTTGATAAGCGAAGCTGTCTTCCTTCCGCTTTGTTATCTGGAATAACCATGAATGGCATGACGCGAACTTTTATGATGAAAATATATACTCGATAGATGATAGGGATGGTAGAGATGATATTTGTTTCTATTTTTTTTTTTTTTCATATGAAAATTATCTCTTCATATGTGTATTTTTACTTTGCAATAGTAGAGAGATATTTTTAGCATACAGTATGGATAAATTATGAATTATAAAAAAAGTTGATTTATGTTAGTCATAATTACTAATTCATTCATTAAAGGAATCTTAACAAAACTTTTGTTTCAGTAGTCAAAAATAAAGATATTAATACTAATTATCTTGGTACAATTATTCGCATTATCCTCTTATTATGAACCAACTGTAATTAAGAAAAAAAGAAAATTATCAATAAAAAAAAACCATAGATTCTTGTAATTTATTAATCTTTAATTGTGAATGACAAATTAATTTATCGTGGTACTTTGAAGACGACGCAAGTCAATATAATATATTTTTAAAGATGGCGTCGTACTGGAAGATGGCGCGTAGTGTCTAAGAGGTTAGATTAGCTTCTCATTTAATTAAAAAAAATTAAAAAAAATCTTAAAACAAATGTCGATTGAATAACAGTTGACAGAATTAAATGAATATATTATTAATGGATCATAATTGTTGTGTCCTTTATAGAATCTATCGATCGTAATCAATCCTTATGATGGACTCTAAAGATACTTAAGTCTCGCATTGTCTCTCATAATAACTCACAGGCAGTTGTTAGGTATACAGCCGTTCGTTCGTTCATTCGCTCGAGCTATCCGCCGTACGATTCAAATCCCGGTTAATCGGATGAGAAAGTTGAAGCATGAGGGCTTTAATAAGCGGCATCACGTTCCTTCCGTTCTATTATTATCCTACATTGTTGCTGCGGATACGCTGGAATAATGCCCGAAGTTTCGTCGAAAACTGCACGGTTAATCTGCTCGGCGTTATAACGCGAGCGGGGGCGCTCCTTCGACCTCGATACGTCTCTGGGCTTTAATTAGTGCAAGTGTGTGTACATGTATACCTTTAAAAGCTGTTTCTCTCCTCTACTCTTCCTACTATTATTCGATGATATTTTTATAGTTTGATTAATTCATCGTAATCCGACTTTTATGTATACGTATATATATATGTGTGTGTGTGTGTGTGTGTATATAGTGTTAATACTTCCAATATCCTACTTGGATTACTTGCTAAACTTGTCAAGGGATTAGAAATTCATTTTCTTTTATGATTAGAAAGGTACACATACATACCTGTTACACTTGTTAACGAAATTTCTAAGGTTTATGGTGTAATACGTGATGGTAGGAATATTTATTATTATATGCAAACTATAAGAGTGATTTTCCTTTTATTTTACGTGATTATTTATTCTCATAAAAAAATGTTCTTTAAATATTTGAAAAATAATTATTTTATATTCGAGATGAAAAAGAAACAATCTAAAAAATTTGTTATTTAAGAATGATACAAAATTTGACTTAGTGAGGTTTATATAACGAACTTACGATATTAGTAATAATATCGACATCGTTTAAATTTCTATCTCAGCGTGTTCTCATTTAAACGTTTAATATCAGACAAGCAAGTTAGATAATTTCAGTTGGCTGTAATTTGGTAAAGTCTTTAAAGGTACTCGCATGAAGAAGTTTCGTACTGATATCAAGAGGGCCCAAAGATACGAAAATCAAAAAGAGAGAAAGGAAGGGAGAAAGAAAGATAGATAGATAGATAGATAGATAGATAGAAAGAGAGAAGATTCTCGTCAAC